GTGCTCATGTGTATACAAGTGCCCTCGAAGGCTAGAAGAAGGCATTGGATCCTCAGGAGCCGAAGTTACAGGTGGTTATGAACCACCCAGTGTGAGTGCTGGGAACCAAACCCTGGTACTCTACAAGCTCTCTTAACCAGTGAGCCATCTCTCCAGTCCCCATAACAGTGTTTTTGTTTTTTTAAAAAATATTTTATTATTTTTATTTTATGTGTATGAGTGTATTGCCTGCATGTATATGAGTACACCCATGTCGTGCAGTGCCACAGAGGTCAGAAGAGGGCTTTGGATTCCCTTGGAACTGGAGTTAAGGACAGTTTGTAGCTGCCATGTGGGTGCTGGGAATCAAACCTGGGTTCTCTGTAAGAGCAGTGTTAACTGCTGAGCCGTCTCTCCAGTCCCCATAGCAGTGTTTTTAAAATAGAAATTTAAAAAGACATAAACCAAGTATCAGCAGTACTGATGACCTGTTAGGATTGGTGGAATTATCGCTGATTCTCTACCTTTTTCTTTTTAGTACATCCATCTTTTCTATGAGAATGTATGTATACCCTTACCTGCTAATATTGTATCAGCTCATTTCTAGATTGCTGCCTCTTCCCGTGTGTGTACATGCATCTGATCATGTCCATGCAGCACAGAGGCCACAGCATGACATCGTTGGGCTCCCTGGCCTCTTGCTCTCTGCCTTACATGGTCTCTCTGAAGTGGAAGCTTGTTAGACGGCCTCATTAGCCATTGGAATCCTGTCTCTGCCACCAACACTGGGATTACATGCCTGGTTTTCCACGTCTTCAGGGGATTTGAACTCGGGTTCTTATTCTTGTGCAGCTAGCGCTCTTGTTTACAGGGCCATGCGCCCCCGCTCCCTGCCCTGTCCTTTTTTTCTTAACTCTTTCTAGAGGCCCTTAATGTGACAATGAACATTTTACACAAAGACATTAGGTTAAGGAAAAATTTTTGTTGAAGAAGGAAATTATGACCCAGTGGGCCTTTTAAGTCATATAAAAATGAAAATCTTACTTCAGATTTGTTACTTTTAAAATTTCTTAAATTTATGAGTGTTTTGCTTGCATATATGTAAGGGCACCACATGCATGCAGTGCCTGTGGAGGCCAGAAGAGGGCGTCGGATCCCCTGGAGCTGGAGTTACAGATAGTTGTTAGACAGCATGTGGGTACTGGGAATTGAACTGGGTCCTCTGTCAGGTCAGCCAGTGCTCTTAACCACTGAGCATATCTCCAGCCCCAGAGCTGTTATTTTTCGTGCAGCATCTTGCACAGATACTGCTTATTACAAACAGTGCAGAGCTATTAGCTGTGATGTATCTGAATATAATAGTGTGTTTCTAGAAGGGTGCATGTGACAGCTAACAACCGTCTGTAACTCCAGTTCCAGGGGATCCCACACCCTCTTCTAACCTCTGTCGGCATTGCATGACATGGGTAAACTTACACACACAAAATATCCTAGAAAAATAAACAGGGACTGGAGAGATGGCTCAGCGGTTAGGAACACTGGCTGTTCTTGCAGAAGACCTGGGTTCAAATCCCAGCACCCACATGGTAGCTAACAACTGTCCGAACTCCAGTCCCAGGGGATCCCACGGCCTCTTCTGACCTCCGCAGGCATTGCACGACACGGGTACACTCACATACCCGCAGGCACACACGAATACGCATACCAATATTTTAAGAAAAGAAAAATAAGAGAGACTTCTGCTGTAAGCTAAGCCCTGGTGGCTCATGTCCTGGGTTTGGGCCTTTCCCTCCTTCCTTCACGCTATCTCTTCTTCAAGGTGGTGAGAGTTACTACATATCTAGTGACTGCTTCCCCCCCCTGTTAGCTGAGGCCTCCCTGTGCAGGTCCTCAAACACTCATGCTCGCTGCCGAATAAAAGGTACAAGTGGTACCCGGGGTGGTCGAGCGTGCCGGGCAGAATGCAGAATGACGCTGTCCTGCGTCTGGCTGCTGCTCCATTGCTAGCTGTGTTCACTGTTTGTCTGGACTGAGTTTCTCTCCCTCAGTTCACAGGGCTGAAAGCGCTGCCTGGACAGGACTGTGCCCAGGGGCTTTGCAAGGCAGGAGAAAGGGACTAAAATGGTGAACTAGATGCTCTCCTTGCATACAGCCCAGAGCGTCAGGCACCATCTTGGTCAGACTTCCTCCTGCCGCTGTGGCCTCACTGGTGCCCAGCAGGGAACCAGGGTCTCCACACAGCAAATCTGCTGTGGGCGGAGTGAGTGAAAGACTGACAGAGGACAGGTCATTGTGAACTGACATGCAACCAAAGTAATAATGATTTTGAGGTTATAAGCTTCAAATAGCCCCTGGTTTTTGTTTTTAAAGAAAAATACTGATTTACTACAAATGAACAAATGAAGTATGTCTAGAATTTTCTCAAGAATAACTCAGTGGGTTGACTGTCCCTGCAAATCATGGTGGCTCATGCCTATAATCCAAGCACTTTGGAGACAGAGGCAGGTGAATTGCTGTGTGAGGCCTATGCTTGTCCCTTGATTATTAAGTACATTTCTCTTCTGTTCACATCTTTGTTGTGCCAAACCCTGTGTCCTTTTTTCCTTTCTTTTTTTAAAGATAATTTTTTAAATTGTGTGTATGTGGGGGTGGGTAGGTATGTGTACGTAAAGTGCAGTTGCCCAAGGAGGCCAGAAGAGGGTGTTGGATCCCTGGAGCTGGATTACAGGCCATTGTGAGCCACCCAGTGTGGGTGTTGGGAACTGAACTTGGGCTCTCTGCAAGAGCAGTAGGTGCTGAGCCATCTCTCTGCCGCCTCTTTCAGACAGGATCTGTGTGTGAGCCCAGGTCTTAACCTCAAAATCCACAGCTTTCTGAGCAGCTGAATCACAGGCCTCCAGAGGCACCACACCCTGCTCACGTTGTTTCCTAAAGCCCATAGACTGATTGACAGTGTCCCTCAGAAGGGGTTTCCCTTCCTTCTTGAGCAGACATCAGGGGCTTGTCTTCCATCAGAATTGAGGTAGGCTCAGCTGGACTGCAGTTATGATTTATCCACCTCGGGCCTGCTCCTCTCTTCACAGCCTTCCACACTTGTCTTCCCTCAGAATTGAGGTGGGCTCGGGCTGGGCTGCAGTTACGATTTATCCACCTCGGGCCTGTCCTCTCTTCACAGCCTTCCACACTGTGGCAGGAACTTGGTGAGTTACTTCACATGTATGAAAAGTGGCTGCTGGCTCCTTCCAGAAGTTCGGGGCATGGTCTGGTAACTGCCAGCCCCTCCGCTGTGTAATGTAGCACGTCTGGAAAGGACGTTCTCCTCTGTCAGGGCTTTGGAGATTCCAGATTGCACTCTGCTCATCAGCAGTCCAGTCCTGACCAGTGGCCTCTGCAACCAGAACCAGAACCTGTCCTGTCAGTAGCTTCCCAAGCCCTGGCTAGGAGCTCAGTGCCCAAGTCCTCTGAATGAATCAGACTCCAGTCTTTTTTAAAAATTTTATACTGTATGTTTTGCCTGCATGTCTGTAAGTACACACGTGTGCAGGCCCTTTTGGAGGCCAGAAGAGGGCGTCGGACCATTGGAACTGGAGTTTTGAACATTGTGAACCATCATGTGGGTGCTGGGACCAGAACCCCAGTCCTCTGTAAGAGCAGCCAGTGCTCTTAACCACTGAGCATCTCTCCAGCCCCCAGACTCCAGTCTTAATGTACAGAATTAGACAATGTCCCAAGTGGAAATGGCCAGGCATCTTTAGAAGGGCCCTCCCTCCCATGTTCTTCAGCCTGGAGGTCACAAGTGCCTGGTCCCTCCATGTTCCCTGGTTCTTCATGTTTTGTGCTTGGCTGTATGCCTACTGGGAGGGAGGGCAGTTACCAGGCTTTCTTCAGTTGCTCTTGCTGTGACTGGCTGCCTCTTGTTTGAAAGCGGCAGGCGTAGCTCAATGGGGCCTAACTGGTGGGACAGGACATTCCTGTATCCTAGCACTGGGCAGTTGAGACAGGGTGCCAGTTTAAGACCAGTGACACCCTATTAAGGATTTGTATTTGGGCTTCTTGAACAGAGGATTCCAAAGTACATCGTAGGAATATTATTGCCTCTGTCCTTGAAAAAGCCTGGAAGATGTTCTGGGGCGTCTTCTTAACATTTATAAGCCACCTTTCCAGTTAGCTTTGATTTCATTGAGAGTCTACCTTAGAAGAGCATGGTAACATTTTTTTAAGAAAGAGAGTGCTAACAAAAATCTGTTTCTGTTATGAAAACAAAATAAAGGTAAAATTCCAGAGGATTTGACGTCCTTATGACAAAAACTATGTGTTGTATCCAAATGTGCACGTGTCCTTCCTGATTTCAGTTTTGTTATGATGCGTGGTCTCCCGTCATTACCACAAGCATGTTAGAAAAACAGTCTTTTCTCAAAACATTGTTTTAATCTCATAAATGTGTATCAGTGGGTGTGGTGGTACACACATGTAATCCCAGCATTTGGGAGGTAGAGGCAGGAGAATCAGAAGTTCAAGGTTATCCTCAGCTTCATAGGGAGTTGGAGGCCAGCCTGAGCTACATAACACCCTGTCTAAAAAGCCAAAAAAAAAAAAAAAAAAGTGAAATGTTGATGTGTTATGTTGTCCGCCTGGCAGGTGCATCCGAGGACAACTATCAACTATGAATCTAACACCAAACTATTCCTTAAAATACTTGTTTTCTGTGGTTTTCCAAAGGGCCTGGTAATTTAGGGAATAGTAACTTGCAAGAGAGTTTTCTGTCTCTGTTGGAAAACCAGATAGCTCTATTATAAGTGGTTTATAAGGCACATAAAGCATAAATCATGAAGCTGGAGCCAGTGAGTGGTAACCGCGTGCCCGACTGCGGGCCCTAGAACAAAGTGCACCCGGAGGCTGACCGGGGGCAACAGCACTCGTGGAGACTGGGAGCCTTGGCCGTTCCGTGAGGGTCTCCCCTCAAAAACAAAGATATGATGTCTGATAACGTTTCTCAAAGTTTGGGATTTTTTTCCTTTCAGAAAACTGAAGAATGGGAAAAAAACAAGACGGACGCAGACATGGACGAGTACGTGTGGGAGAACAGCACCTCGCAGAGAAACGCCGTCCAGACCCTGCTCCGGATGCAAGCTGCGGGCCAGGGCCAGGGCGAGCGCGGGAGCGCAGAGGAGCTGCTCCGCACCCGGGAGGTGGAGGGCTACCAGGCCTGCGTGGTTCGTCTTAAGAACGAAGGGGAGAACGAAGTCAGCCTCTCTCAGTACAAAGAGTCGGTGAAGAGGCTGCTGCACCTGACCTGAAGGCCGTGCGCAGGGTCCGGCCTGGCACGGGAAGGCTCACCAGCCCCCTTCGATGCGGGCAGCATCCCTTCCCAGCTCCTGTGCGGTGACGGTGTGTTCGCTTTCTAGTATGTGACCAACGACAAAACAATTACACTGCTTGCAACATCTGCGACTTCTCTGCTTCTGACGTGTTCTGATTTTTGCTCCGCAACACCGTGAGTGCTCTGTACCTACGCCTATTTACTCTGCCCTCTTCACGGCTCGTGTTTACTGCTTGGTTTTGATTAGTAACTTTGGTTATTGAGCCAGCTCCTGGCTCCACGCCAGCCCCTTTAGACCTCTGTATGCTTGTGACTGTGTGCGTGATCCCGCCGTAGCTGCTGGTACCAGGGAGAGCCGGGTCCTGGGAGAGCCTGCAGCCTCTTCAAGGGGGGGCACTTCATGTTGATTCAACTGCTTAGCTCCCTACCTCCTGCCCCTCGAGCTCACTGTCCCAGCCCAAGCTTGCAGAAAGCACAAGTGAAGACAGGACCTCAGCCATCTCTGCAGCCCCTCGACACCCCCCGCCC